ATAAGAAGGAAAATTGAAAGTAACCTAAATGTCCAACAATATAAGAACTGCTAAGTAATTATAGCATTTTAATTGGAAATATTATGAAGCTATTAAAATGATGGTTATAAAGATCATGCAGCAACATCAAGAATAGGTAAAGTATAATCCTAAGTGAAGTAAAATACAGAATTATGCACACTATGATTATAAACTCTGCAAAATAAAATGGAAAAAAATGCATAGGGTTTCATACACTGTTAGTAGGAGTTGCCTTTTGGAATGCCCTCTTTTCAAAAGTCTTAAGAATGTTCATATTTTTTGATTGAACTTCTAGAAATTTAATTCAATTTCTATAAATACAACTTAAGACAATTATCCAAAGTAAAAAAAAGAAGATTTACAAAGAAGAGTTTTTATTACATCCCTGTAGCATTTTGTAAAATTTGTGAAGAACCAAAAATAGCTTAAATATGTAGGAAGAATGAAATAGTTAAATAAATTGTAATTTATCTGTATGCAGAATGTTATGCAGCCATTAAAAATGAAAGAATTTAATGACAAAAAGAAATATATAAATTGATAAGAAAAATCAGAATTTATTTTTAAAAGCAATATAAAAATATTAACTATATCATTTAAAACTATGTAGAGAAAGATGAAAATACACCAAAAATTTAATGTGATTAATAGTGGTTATATAAAATTCTTAATGCTCTTCATATAAAATTCTTAATGCTCTTCATCTTTCTCATGATTTTTGTATTCCCAAGTGCATGCAATAAGCTTAGTAAACATGTATTACTTTCATAATCAGAAATAATTATAAAAGCCTACATAGGCAAAAAAAAACAGGTGAACATATCTGTATTGACACTAACTGTGTGAGGGTGATTGATTAAGGGTCGTGTACTTATTTTGTCTATTTTCCACATCTCAAAATGTAGTTATGTGAAATTCATAACTTCAAAAACTATAATTGTTATGAGATGATCTATGTCATACCTTGTGTTCTGGTAGGACATGGCACTAGTAATAACATTTTATACTTATGTTAAGTATTTACAGTTTGCAAAGTATTTCACTTGTATTATTTCTTTGCAAAGTAGTTCACTTGTGTTATTTCATTCAATTTACACAGAGTTCTGTGTGAGATATTGTTACCATATTACAGCTGCAGAAACTGAGACTCAGAAGTTAAGTGAGGTCATCCAAGTCATGTGGCAATCTGAACTGGTGCTGGACTCAGGGGTTGTGTTTCCTTACGCTACACTCTATTAGCTTCCATGGGCTCTTTCTTAGTGATTCCATCAGGAATGATAAAGCATTATGCCATTGCAAACATGATATAAATTTGTTAAGTAGCTAAGACATTTACTGGAAGGGAGTGACTTTGATTTGCTTTACACCTCTCTTTACACTGTCCTACAATGATTAATTTTTCAGAAGTTAGGCTTTGATGTTTCAGTTAGTTTTTTTCCAACACATCTCCAATCCCTTGATATACTCAACTAATTAAACAGTGAAGTGGACTTTACATGAAGTACTTTTTAATTAGCCACAGTGATTCCCAAACTACTCAGCCTGGGCTCAGGACCCTTAATATTCAAACTGGCAATCTAGTGCAAGTAAACTCTTTATTTAAATAATGACATCTGAGATTAAGCTCAATAAAGGTTTCTATGGAAACTAACAGCAATATCAAAACTTTTCAAACCACCAGAAGTGACCCAATTAAGAGAGATAAAAATGAGTGACAGAAAAAGTAGCTATCAATAGTATGGAAAGGTTAATTCCACTTCCTCACACTCGTTTTCATAAATGTGTCTGCATATTTATTAGAACACTGTGGAATTCATTTGATATTAAAGGGTCTCAAATGGATAAGAATAATGTATGAAGTGAAAGTTTATGTTGTTCTTCAATAACATTGAAGCCAATTTCACAGAAATACAGAAATTAAAACTGAAGAGCAAGGTAGGTTTACGTGAATGTAAACACACACAGATAATAAACACCACGAAAGATGAAATTCTAAGATATATGCAACAGAAAAGATCGATAAGTTTTATAAATTAGTTCCAAAGAGAAAAGTTAAAGAAGCCTTCTGCCTTCCCTAGAACTAAGAAAAAAGAGAAATATTTGCTGAACTTGACTCCAGAATAAAATGCAAATATAAACATGTTTATTAAAGGTTGTAATCAAACAAGAAGCTCTTAAAAATAGTTTTGAGATTCAAGCACAATATAAGAATAATTCATGAATTTGCAAATTGGTATTTCCTGCTATGAATGTTAAAGAAGTTCAAGCTTTAACCTTGACATTTGCATGTACTGTGACAATTGAAAACCCAAAATATTAGTGTACATGGTTGCAGAGTTTTAACTTGTTTTGAGAGCTCAAGTCATCAAATATTTTCCTACAAATACTTACATAAAGAATCCAAGCATGTTTAATAAGTAGTAGCCTGAATTTTACTAATAGAACACAATGACAAAGTGACATCTATAGCTGGATTACTAATAGACATCTCAAATTCAACTTGCCCCAAATCAACCTCCTGGTCCTTCTCTAATATGCTTTTCCTGTCTCAGTCAACAGTGACACCATCCCTCCAGTTGCTCAGACCAGAGCCATTCTTGACAATTCTATCACCAAATCCCTTCAACTTTCATTCAAAATACTTCAACTTTCATTCAAAATACCTTCAGCACTGAACCATTCTCTCCACCTTGGTTGCCCCTGCCATGGCCAAATCCTGCACTAGCACAGCAGGTTCCTCACTGCTTTCCCTTCTTAGGCCCTTCTGCCTTTTGTCAATGCTTACACACTGCACTGAGAGTTATTCTGTTTAGAAAAAGTAACTCCCTATCTCTGCTGTGCTAATCCTTCCCAGTGGCTTCCTATCTCATTCAGAACAAAGCCAGAGTGCTTGCAATCTGATGCAACATGATCTGCTCCTTTGTGTGCCTCTCGGACCTTGTCTCCTGTGCTCTACCAACTCACCGGCCCCAGCCACCCTGACCTCCTTACTATCTTCCACTAAGGTGGGCATGTTTGTGCCTCTTTTCATGTACTGTCCCCTCTGCTTGGAAATCTCTTCCTCAATGTTTGCACGTTTCACTCTTTCATCCCCTTTACATCTTTAATCGTGTTTTTGATGAGCCTTCCTTCTCTGGGCATCATTATAAAAACTGTAATCCATTCGATCATCCCGTGCCTTTCTCAGCCTCCCTAGAAGCCATACTGAGGAAGCTCTAAAAAGCTTGATTAAAAACAGATTCACACCAGGCAATTTCCCAGTGAACTCTGCTGAGCCTTACCAAGTCAGACATATATTGCTGCATTTAAATATATTGGTATGTTAAAGCTGCAATCCCCAACCCCCAGCTGGCAGACTTATACTGGTCCGTGGCCTGTTAGGAACTGGCCACACAGCAGAAGGTGAGCAGGCAGGTGAGCCAGTGAAGCTCCATCGGTATTTGCAGCCACTCCCCATAGCTGGCAGCATCACCATATAAGCTCCACCTCCTGTCAGGTCAGTAGAGGCATTGGATTCTCACAGGAGCACGAACTGTACTGTAAACTGCACATGTGAGGGATCTAGGTTGCACACTCCCTATGAGAATCTAATGCCTGATGATCTGAGGTGGTGATGCTAGCACTGGGAAGTGGCTGCAAATATGGATTATCATTAGCAGAGAGGTTTGACTGAACAATAAATGTAATGTGCTTGAATCATCCCAAAACCACTCCTGTGCCCCTGGTCTGTGGAAAAATTGTCCTCCATGAAACCAGTCCCTGGTGCCAAAAAGGTTGGGGGCCATTGTCTTAAAGCATTTTCTAGCATCAAATTTTGAATATTCTTGAAAAAAGAAACATTTTATGTAATTATCCATATTCTTATCCTGCCTTGTAAAACTCATTACTTATTGACCTCTATTGTTATTTACCTGTTTCATGTGTGTAATCTGTTTTGATCTGCCCAAAGAGACCACAGGCTCCTCTCCGTCAAGAGTCATGGATTCTATACTTTTCTGTCCCTTTTTATGCTATACACAGTGTTTTACAAATGAGTGCAATATGAGTGAATGGATTCACCTTTCTAACCAATATTTGCTGAGCCTAGATATAGGACATACATGTCCCACCTACTGTTCTACAATGCAAGTTAGGTCATGGGTAGAGGCCATCACCTGTCATCGTGAGTAGTCCACTGCAGTATGTTATCAACTCAGCATGAACAATTGGCTTTGAGTGATAAGCCACTGTGGCACTGTGATAAGCCAAAGATGATCTATCTTTGTGGTACAGAAAATATTGTAAACAGACAAGTAACAGCAATGTCCCCATGCAGTAATAATAATAATCATAAAAGTTACAGAATTAAGAAATCTGGGTTATGGTAGTTACTTAGAGAAAGCAGGGAAGGACATGCTTTGGAGTTCACCAAGCCCCTGAAAGATTTGGAACAATGTATTGCCTTTTCCTGGCATGGCATCAGTGAGCAGTGCATGGTATTTGTCCAACTGGGAATCATCATGAAGGTTTACAGATGAGAAAGCAGTTTCTTGGTACCTATGTTCACAAATACACATATTGCTGCTGCGTCCTAGGGTGACATTACCTTATCTTCTGACTTGTGTATCTAAGCAAGTCACAACGGAAAAAAAAAAAAAAGGATCTAGCTGTGTTGCTTACTTATGTCTGTGGCTAAGGCTAAGATCTCCTAAGCATGTTTGTGACAAAATCTCTTCCCTCTGGCTTGAATACTAGACACCTGATTTCTCAGTATACTTTGCCTTTACTTATGTTGTCTCTTATCACTTGCTCCACCAGAGACCAAAGCAGCCTTTTGAAATTTCCCAGGATCCTTGGGGTAATCCACGCTTCTACCTCATTCTGGCTATTTTATAACCTAAGAGGGATTTCCATCCCTGGCACCTTCTCTCATTCAACAAGCTGCAATCAATGTAGAGAAAACCAAACCTCCGAGTTGTGATTTTGTAAACATGGGTTACCTGTGCAGATTCTTTTAAAGTTGGGGTTTTCCAGAACATGTCCCGGTAGGCGGCACTGGAACCGATGTTGCCAGAATTCAGGGAACCACGGATTCCTCGTATTTGTGTCCAGCCTCAGTTTCAGGAAATAATCATCAAACGACCTGACCTCTGGAGACTGCAGCTTTATCGTGATTCCCCCGTTGGCTTCCACCTCATAACCTTCGATGACTTCGTCTCTGTCTGCCCATCCATCACTGAAAAATGCAGGGATAGGGGTAGGGAGAGAGAAAGACAAACATCTCACAAATAGAGCTCAGAGTTACATATGAATGAAGCAATTGAGCAAAGGCTAAAGTCTACTTTAAGCCAGCAAAAAGATTTTTTTTTTGTAGAAAGTAGAAAGTTGTGAAAGCATAACATCCTCTTTGTGTCTTTGTTTGAAAGTGATGATGAAGATGATCATAGCAGCAATTACAACTGAAGTTTATTGAACATTCACTAGTCATCAGATTGTATGCTGTTCATATTCACTGAGACAGAAGGTGTCCAGCAATTAGCTGAAGTCCTGGAGGGTCCAGGTAATCTGTCTCCCAAGTCCAGTGCTCTTTACCACTAAGCCACAAAAACCTATCAGTTTCTGTCCAAATCAGAAGGAAATAAAATCCAGGCACCTCAAGTCCCTAACAATAAGACCTCTGCAAGGTTTCAAGTTTGCAATCAAGGCCATTATGTGGAGCTGCATTATTTAAGGTACAAAATTGATATAGCTCTGAAACATACCAACCACAGTTTTCACTGCTGGGACATTATTCAAATCTGTCTCCCACAGAAGTGACCAGATGCTTTTATTTTCTAATGCTATTTTAAAATAACAGCATTAAAGGAAACCCATCTCACTTCCAAGTGTAAAAAGAATCCTCCTTTTCACTAAATGGGAGTTCACTAACATTTTATTCAGTGGGATAGACTTTTTAAATGTTGTCACCTAGAACATTCATATCTACCAGGAGTGATGTAGCTCCAATTTAATTCAGGTGTACATGTGAGCCAGGCCTAAGAGGGTGTCAAAGACCAATTGCATCAGACAGAGTTGAACAGCCAAGGAAGACTTTATTCAAGACTATTCTAAAAAAAAAAAAACAAAAAAAACCAAAAAAACAAAAAACTATTGCAGTAGATGAGAGACATTGAACCTCACGCTGCTGAAACAAAAGATGGGAGGGTGTTTAAGTGCTGGGGTGGGCTGGTGGGAAAGTACTGGAGGACTGCCTCTAGGGGGAGGCTGGTCAATGTGATAAGGCATCTGTGTTTGGTAATTGTCTAATTGTCACTTACCTAAGTCAGGCTCCTACCCTCCCATGGAAACTGGGAGATAAGGGTTTGACACCATTGTGATAATTACCTCTCAAAGGCATGGCCCCCAAGTCTTTGAGAAAGACATTGGTGAGTTTTGATACAAGCAAGAGGCTGGGAGAATATTTACATCTCAAAGAGGCAGAGAAAGAATGTACAATGGTGAACTAGTACCTCTTATCCTGGATAGAGCTGGAGCCCATCCTTTGAAGTGAAGTATCACAAGAATGGAAAAACAAGCACCATATCTACTCTACTGGCCATCAAATTGGTACTAACTGATCAACACTAATGTGTTCACATGGAAGTAATATTTACCCATCGGTCAGGTGGGGGGGGTGGGGGTGTAAACTCACAACTAATGGGTGCAGAGTGCACTGTATGGGGGAAGGGCACACTTGGCACTCTGCGTGGGAGAGGCAAAGGCATTATATGTAATCAAAATGTCTGTACCCCCATAATATTCTGAAATTTAAAAAAAAGATGTATCAACATGTATCAAGCACCTTAAAAAAAGAAAGAAAGAATTTACAATTTCAGCCTTTCTAAAACAATTATTCTAAGAAATGGGAAGTCAGAGGCCCATACTCAGGAAAACTGTCTAAAGTTTTAACCTATCTAAAGTTTAGTCAAGCTGAAGAGAATGTTAAAACCATCTTGATCAGGGGGTAGATTTATTTCTCTCCGCACAGACTGGTGCCCTACAGTTTGTGGAACATAACTGTGCAGCCTCTGCCAAAGAGAATGTTTTATTGCTTGCTTCTTGCAGAGCAGGGAACTCGGCCAAACACATGTGACTGACAATACCTCATCCTTTGTTACCTCAGATCAATTGGGATAAATGTGTTCTCCACTTAGGTGAGCTAATTGGTGTAGCTCCTCTCTAGCAACTTCTCAGCGAGCCACACAGGGGCTGTATTTTCAACGTGTCAAGGGTCATAGAAGGTATAGCTGACTTAACATGATCCACAACTGAAAGGACTTTGAGGTACAGTATAGTTTAACCAACCAGACCAGAGAAAGTCTATATGCTTCTAAATCTGCTAGGATAGAGACTCTATAATACTTCACTGGTCTTTCTTTTTCCCCTCCCTCCCTCCCTCCCTCCCTCCCTCCCTCCCTTCCTTCCTTCCTTCCTTCCTTCCTTCCTTCCTTCCTTCCTTCCTTCCTTCCTTCCACATTTACCTAGCAGCCACAATTTGCCAGATGCTCTGCTATGAATTCAATAGAGAATGAGACACTCTATGCTCTGTCCCTACCGTATTGCAGACTTATGGGAAAAATAGACACTAGGCAAGAATGACAAACTCTTTGAGGCTAAACAGAGAGAAGGACCAGTACCATGGAGAGGGAGGGCTTGGGAATTTAATTTATTCTGGTGTGTAGGTGTGTGTGGGGGGGGGGATGAGGGATGGGTTTCTTAAGAAAGTGATGTCTGAGCTGAAAGTTAAAGGAGGAGTAAGCCTTAGGTGAAGAGAAGGGGAGAGATTAGTACAGAAGGTTCGTCATAGATTAACATATGAGAAAGAACGTGGTACATTCAAGGAATTTAGAAAGAATCAGTACAACCGGAGCCTAGACAGAAGTATGACATGAGAGGGGAGTGGGCAAATAAGTTCCAGCCTAGAAACTATTAGAATGAAACTATGGGAAGTCCTCAATGTGCTGTAAGCCTATTACTCAATAAGGGCATTCAGTCTCATGCCTCATGGTGAGTGACCAGAGTATTGTGAGTCCTCTGCTTACCATAATCGAAAATGATAGCCAAATAGACTATAAAAAAAAAAAAAAAGACTTGACTCTTTCATCTTGCCATAGGCTCATTCTATTTGGAAAGGCTCCAACTAGTTTAATTATTTATATTTAAATTTATTTATATTTATATCTTTAAAAACATCCACAGCAATTTGAAGATTTGAGCCATAGTTCATGACACGCTAAAAAGAATGGTAAAAATAAAACCAGTTAGGCTTTCAAGACATTCTGCCTGTGAGTAAATACTTAAGATCAAAAAAGCTTATAACTTCAAGAAAAGAATTGCTTTTTGACATAAAGGTTAATGCTTGAAGCGTCTTTCTCCTCAAGGTTTAATACTATGTGAGATTTCTTTAGATTGCCATTTGTATAACAAACCCACAATCTCAGAGTTTTAAAATGTGCATGAAATGACTTTCTATGGTGTGTATTTGCATTTTGAAAATCATGCTTAGTTTGTAAAGGTAAATATCTTAAATGGATGCCAGAAGCAGAGAAAAGTGTGACTTCTTACCCTTGAGCTCACCGGCACAGAAGGGCACATCCTAGGAGTCAAGGTTTGTCTGTGAATACAGACCAATGTTAAGTCCTGTGGTTTAGTGGTCTGGAGCCCTACATCCCCTTCACACTGACCAAAGCCCTTCACCCTCACTGTAGATGGTGCTTACACGAGTTAGAGTTGGTGTTGAATCCAAGAGGTCACAAAATCAAGGAGAAGCAGGGTACAATAGGGAAAATATTCAAGAAGGATTACTTGGTGAGTATCTTTTAGAGAGTTGCCAAAGGTTTGTATGAGATCTTAACCCTATCACAGGTAAGGTGTGAGGGAATGCTACCAACGACAGCAAAAATGTTCCTGGAAAATACCTACAAAGCAACTCTTGGTTTTTATACTTTCAAATTGTTTCATCTAGGTATCACTTATCAAATGCATTTACAGAGAATTTTAAACAGGATTTTTCCTGTTTAGTTGTAATGGTCTTTTGTGTGAGGATATTGTTTTGGTGAATTATCTGTAAAGCACACTTTAAAACAGGCCTGATTCGGGATCTTTCTTAGTTGGGGTAGTAGTATAGATGGTGCTTGAGCTGAGATGACCTGCAGGCACTGGTCACCCCTTGAGTGTCTGGAGTGCACTGTGCTATGCTGGGTGGTGACCTGGCCTCAGAGCATGCTAACTCTCTGAGAGCCACATTTACTGCCTCTAGCAGCTTCTGCTGCTCCATCTGCTTCCCAATGATGAGTTCCTTTTCCTGGCTGGGCCCTGGAAATAAAACTGCATGTTGTGGAACATTTAATAGAAAGTTGCATGTCTTAAGTATTTCTCACTAACACAAGAATCCTCATTTCCTATCCCCCCCTCAATATTTTTCAACAGCACTTCTTCATGAGGCTATTCTTCTCTTCCAACCAAATCATTTTTTCCCTGTAAAATTTCACATTCCAAACTTGAATAATTATGAGGCTTTTCTATATAATAATTTCTGATATTAACAACAGGAAATAGTATTTTATACTTCCTCTAATTATAATCTGACAGAAGCTGCACCAATGTTACTTTTGCATTTTATCAGTTAAATAATTTAATTAGAAAATTGGTAGTTAAAAACAGACTAACAATAGTGTTAATTTTTTTAAAATGTGCAAAACATTTTTATAAAAGACTGTTTCCATTCAATTAAAATAATTACAATTTAGGTACTAAAGCAATTTAATTTGTGTTATGAGTTCAAGTAATTGTGTGTACTGATAAATCTATAATTCTTTTAAAACATTTCAGAGATTACCATATAATCAGAAAAAGATAAAAGCATAATGAAAAAATATCTTCAAAAACACATGTAAGCAAGCACAAAATTCTATTATTTACAATGTTAACCATATTCACAAAGGTGGAAGAACTGTAGCATAATGTTAAGTTAAATCAGGTGACATCATTATAGGAAATTTCACAGAGGAAATGCAGCTTTTTCAATAATAATTTAGACTGTAGATTAGAATCTAGAATACCTAGATTCATTTACTGAACAGCAAATGAGGTCATCCCTACAATTTTTTGAACTTACTATCTGGATGTTTCCAAACCACAGCACAAGAAGGTGGGGCTAGGGGGAAACTGAGATACAACCCAGTGGATTTGCTGAGT